ATGGTCGAATGCTGATTTACACTAAATATAATTTAACTGATACGATGCAGCTCTACGAGAAATTTTTACGTGATGTCAGACCCGCTTCCTATAAAAAACACGGCTCATTTTTACGTATTTTTCGTTGAGTCCCCTATGACCATTCTTTGAGATCCCAGGCTAATTTTCTCATAATGTTGTAGTACTCGGTGAGTACTATAAACCTACATGTGCCCAGCTTCTAGATAATCCGTATCTTGGGAGATCTGAGTATCTCAAAGTCATGGTTTTGGCCAAAATCACGATATTGTGGTGGGTCTCCATTGCGATGGAAATTATGTAGGGAACTGATTTTTTTAGCAGACTAAGTACTCAATGGCATCTCTCTATAGCCAAGGTTTCAACCCTCTGACACGATCCATTCATGAGATACGTAAGTGCCCAAAATACTAAAAAATAGCCATTTTGCCGTGAACCTGGTGATATTGGGCAACTCACCAACGCTACATCTATTTGAGCTCATTTTTTCCTGGAAATACAAAATCATGATACGAATTCACAGTAAAAGTTTCAATTAAATTGCATATATCCTTGATGAGATATCGATGTCAAAAAATCACAAAAAATGACCTTTTTTGACGATACTGTCTCCAGAAAAGTGAAAATATCTTAGCAACGGAACAATATTTGTTTCAAACGGCTTGCGTCACAATTCTTAAAACACCTACCTCTAAAACATATATTAAATTGAACGAAATCGGACGACCTCGATTGAGCAGCCTCTGTGTGAGTCGGGTGTGGCTGACATGGGCTGGATAAATATAGCCAGTGGTTGTTGCTACCGGTTGAAAGGTCAAAGGTGAAAGGTGAAAGGTGAAAGGTTAAAAGCCAACTGAAAGAACAGAAAACTACTCAGACATGCTTAGCCATTCCCATCCATTAATATCCATTCGTATCCATTCCCATCCATTCCCATCCATTCCTAGCCATTCCTAGCCATTCCATCCATTCCTAACAATTCCTAGCCATTCGAAGGCTAGGAATGAGCTTATCCCCCCTTGCCAAAAACACTACAGATATGATCATATTGTCATCCTATGTATCAAGTCATTGTTGTGACCGTTTGTGCTACATTCATGGGCGTTTTCGCAAATGTTTACTCCTATGAAGCACATCTGTGATCCTTCAAGCTTTATCTGTGGTCATTTCGATCATAGTTACCATGTGGTTATTGCATTACGCAGACAGTCTGGCACACGTGAACTTCTATTTCTACGCGAGTACCTCAGTCTAGGGCCAAGCAAATCGACTCTCTATGAGCGTTACTTGTTCAGTACAGCCCCTTTGTGGTTAAAATGTGGAACTCACTTATATCCTTTTAGCAGGGGTAAACCGATAAAAATGTGCCAAATGCAACATTTCTCAGACTACTGAATTTTCAAAATAATTGATTATCAGAGCAGCAAGCTGTTTCATTTATTTTTACATTGCCAAAAGATTTTGTGAAACTCGACTTAAAAGGAGTGTTGTAGTGTTTAAGAGCAGAAATTTGGACCCCCCTCCCCGCACAGACCGTGACAAAGAAACCCAGTATCCATCACAGACCGTGACAGAAAAAATCCATATTTATATAGAATTCAGCATCGTATACCAATAAAATCTCGTTAGAAAGTATGTACCACTTTCTTATGATAGTTCCAGGAGATTAGGTGAAGGTTTGAGAGCAAGTGCATCGCAAAACACGTCGAAAAAAAATGATTTCGATGCGTTTAGCAACAACAAATCAGTCGTGTTTCACATTTTTAATAACAAAGGGATTGTGTTAACAACGTTTTTATCTTTTTTTGGCGCCCTTTTTTTCTCTCGCATGATTACTATTTTTCCGTTTTTTTTATTCTAATCAATAATTAGTTGTTAATGTCTGCGATGCTGGGCATGTCTGTAATGGGCATGCCTGTAATGGATATGTTTGTAATGGGGAGGGAGAGGAGCCGCAAAATTCTCACTCTTAAACTTACACTCACTATTTTCTTCAAAATATACGCGAGTTCCACAAAATACTATCAAAATTAAATTTCCCGGCAGAAATAAGACTGGAGCACAAACTCCTTTCAGGATGTTTATAGCTCATTAGAGCCTACATAACGCACATAGTCTTCATTCAAAAGCGATTTCCTAACTCGGAATTGCTCCTGATTCCGTTTTTCTGCCCATGGTGGCCCTCCCCCTTCCAAGAAAATGTTACGGGCAACGACAGGTTTGTCACAGTCTTTGATAGTTGCTAGACTCCTTTGCCTTCTGTCTGTTACGGTATATGGGGTAAGTCTGAAGGTGGTTTACTTTTCTCGCTATATACCTCAACACTCATTTCCAATCGTGTTTCAAAAAACAGCATCTATAAGCTTGCTTTCGATAATTTCTTGCTGCACTCCTGTTACAGACCATCTTCTCTGTTTACAGACAATCCACCCCTACATTTCAGTATGTCTGCGAAGCACGACGGTAAATCTGTAGTCGACGTCATTTTCTATACTGATTATCAATTTCAAGCCATAAGGGTGTTCCTGAAGTTCTGAAGTACTTTTAAAATGGATCGGTCTCGCATTTAACACAAGCAAACTCTTTGAAAAGTTGGCAGATTATTATGCATGCTTAGTACTAAATAACTAGAAACTTTCAGGCCTATAGATTGTACTATGGACGATAACCAGTAACAACACTATCATGCACTACTTTTTCAATTTTCCTGTATTTTGGGTGTGCCAAAATGTTTATATATCGGTTTAGGTATATCATAACATGTTGAATTTTTGTTTAAAAGATGTGCCATGAAAAGCTCTACGAAAATTGTAATAACAAATCCCTATTGACTTATGCTAATGGTTTCTTCGACACTCAAAATGAGAAACCTACATGATAGAACTACTTCTCACCATATTGAGCGTAATAAGAAAATGTTTGGAAGACCTTTTAGTTTTGCATGTATCTCAACTTGAGAAAATGATAAAATCTTGATTTGTTTTTCAAAAGATGCGCCGTTGAAAGCTCTACAAAAGCTATATTAACGCATTCCGATTGGAAAATAAATCAGTGTTTCAAACCTTTTTTGATTACGCACTATAAGCAAAGAAGTAGCACTGTCATGTACGTCTTTCATTTTGAGTATGGCAGAAACCATTAACACAAGTCAATAGAGGTTTGTTTTTACAACTTTTGTAGAGCTTTTCATGGGGCATCTTTTAAGCAAAAATTCAAGATTTTATCATCTACCTAAGCCGAGATACAGGCCATATAAAAAATTGTTGCAAACATTTGGGCGCATCCGAAAGATGATCAGAAAAATTGAAAAAATAGTGCATGATAATGTTGTTACTGGTTCTCAGTCATAGTAAGAGCTACAGACCTCAAACTTTGTAGTTATATAATACTTCATATGCACAATAATCTGCCACAGCTTTAAAGAGTTTTCTTTTGTTAAATGACAGAACGATGCATTTTAAAAGTACTTTAGAATTTCCAGAACACCCGTTATTTGTAAGTAGAGTGAGCATATAGTGTATCGGAACATATGAGTAAGCATCATAGTGAAAAGTAATCATGAGTTTTTATGATTTGTGATACGGGCTAACTTTTGCTACCAGAAATGGAAACATTCGAGTAATATATCAGACGATGCAGAATATGAAGGGCTTTCAGAAAATATAAAAAATATTTTAGGATAGAATAATTTGCCATCACCAGGGTCAGAATACTAGAAAATTAGCATTTTCTTCAACCAGCAATTTTGTTCATATATTGAAATTAGGGGTTAGTGAAGTGTACTTCATGAATTATCCAGTTACTGAGCTTGGTACAGAAAAAGATTCTACATATTTTAAGATGCCTCCAAAGTCAAAGTGGTGAGTAATTGCAGAAAAAGATTGAAAATATTAAGGGCACCCTAAAAAGTTGATTTGTTTTAGATCAAGTATTATGGGGTGGGTAACTTGTGGGATGCCGGGTTTTTCATAGACAAGTCAAACAGAGCTCATCTTTTGGATTTTGTCTATTAGAATAGTGATCTATCATTTCAGAATTAAAAATAGAAAATCTAAATTTTGTCGATAACCGACCTCTGGTTGAGTTGGTGTGCCGTAGAAAGACCGAAAGGAAAAATGTCGAAAGGGAAAAATATCGAAAGGAAAAATATAGAAAATGACCAAAGGAAAAATGTCGAAAGAAAAATGTCGAAGGAAAAATATCGAAAGAAAAAATATCGAAAGGGAAAAATGTCGAAAATTTGCATTAAGATATTTTTATTCTTGAAATCATAATAGCATCATAGCATAAATCATAGATAAATAAGAGTTATAAAGAAAAATACACATATCCAATATTTACTAGTTGTTGCTGTTGTATTCAGCTTGAAAATATATTTATCTGATACAAGGAAAGGTTTTCCTTTTTACGACTGAATAAATGAAATAACTGGAGTTGGCAGATGATTCTCACCAGATAAAAATGAGCAAGCTGTAGTCATCATGATAAAATTTTAATCGTTGTATACTATTTTACGCCTATTTTAGCTAGTTTTCATAAGATATTACTTATCAATAGTATCAAGGGTTATCATTGTCAAACCAATGGAATAATCAGATCAACAACAATGAACAATAAACTATTAGAACCTTCATTTAGTAGACGTCGCTTTTTTCTATCTTTTCTGTTTTCGACATTTTTCCTTTTCGACATTTTTCTCTTCGACATTTATCCATTCGACATTTTTCCCTTTCGATATTTTTCTTTCGGTGCTTTTCTTTCGGTATTTTTCCTTTCGATATTTTTCCTTTCTGCCTTTCTACGGCCAACCGTTGAGTTAGTCGGTGCTCTCAGAGAAGCTCGCTGATACAGCTAAATTTTCTGACGAATTTGTAGTCTGCCTAGATATCTACAGCTTATGCGTGTTTTTCATTGAAGATGACGTATGGGGTGTCATTGATTCACGTTTACAGAGCGATTTTCCTGATATCCGAAATAGAGCCATGATTAAGTCTCCTGACGGTACGTGCAGAGTTATACCACGCGAAGGTGATCGTGTCCGGCTTTATATTCAACTGCCAAGCATTAAACGTGATGACACTGAAGAACGTATCGATCGCACAGGGATAACTCAAGATATGCTGATGGAAACGGCACGTAAGATGTTTGCACCATACAAGCTCGATTGGCCTAGCATCGATTGGTGGGCAATTTACATAACGGGTCAGCGTTACGCCAGCAACTTTGTCGATAAGGACGAGCTAGTTTTTATCGCCGGGGATGCCTGCCACACACATTCACCAAAAGCTGGACAAGGTATGAACGCATCGATGAGCGACACCCACAATCTGTCGTGGAAACTTGCCATGGTCATCAAAGGTCTTGCTAAACCCGCTATCCTCAAGACATATGAGTTTGAGCGACGCAACTACGCTAAGCAGCTCATCGAATATGATCACGAATTCTCCAATCTATTCTCCAGTAAGCCTACACAAAATGCCGAAGAATTTGCTGTCGCCTATGAAGGCCTTCGTGAAGCCTATGAAAAGTTCAGTGGCTTCTTCAGCGGAATTGCTATTCAATATGAACCGTCTCTCATTACTGTCCAATCTCTAGAAAATCAAGCGCTTGCAAAAGGAATACCGATTGGCAAGGCTTTTATATCTCAAATTGTTGTTCGTCATGCTGATGCTCGACCGTTCCATCTTCTTGACCAAATGCCAACAGATCTGCGATTTCGCGTGTTGGTTTTTGCTGGTGATTGCCTCGTTTCATCTCAGCTCAAAAAGATTGAGGAAACAGCTACATTACTGGAGGCGCTAGCTAGGCGCTACACACCTTCGAGTGCTGTTTACGACGATGTTATGGACTTCATCACCGTGTCTTCGAATCCACATGCTGCATACGAGAAGGAATCCCTACCGCTTTTCCTGTATCAAAACAAGTGGAAAGTATTCTGCGACGAAGTTGCAATCGATGGGGTATGTATTCCGTTCTATTAATTATTCTAACTTGTAACACTCAAAATTTTGAGAGGCACGATCAACTTAAGATTTAAAATCTAATAACGTTTGTATAAGGAACGTACCATTTGGTAAACTCTGTCCAGTTAGATGTCTTTTGCAAATAGTCTCTTTGCTTGTGACTAGTTTTCATAATCCATTTATAAAAGCGCATCCGAAAGAGGCTCACTCCGAAATCGAATTATGTTGTAAAACGTTGAAAAAAAAGACTCACCGCTCTGTAAAAAAAAATGGAGTTTTGTAGAACGGCACCCAACAGCAGAACCTTTTTAGGGTTCTGCAGCTTTTCCAGAACCCCAAAAATGGTTCTGCATACGCTACAGATCCCCAAAAAGAGTTCTGCTATCGGGTACCGTTCTGCAAAACTCTTTTTTTTTCGGAGCGGATTGGTGACTTACATTTAACAGGAAAGTCTCATATACTGTTCTTTTGAGTAAAGCACAGCGCATGAACTAGTATATGAGGTATTGCGTCGGGTGTCTACCACAAAAACAGGTATATTTCTAAATTGTGTGAAACTTTCAGGATTTGTAAACCATATTGAGGTAAGACAATCCGCACAACCAGTTTTTTTTAATTTCTTTCATAAATACGTACATAGTGAGGATGATACTTTCTATGATTTTTGTATATAATGAAAAAATTACGATGTTGTCGAAAAGGATCCCATACAAGCATATTTCAAATTAAGTATGTAAGGTATTAACTATATGAGCTAAATTATTCGGTGGTGACGTGAGTTCGCAAAATTGAAAATTTCAATTTGAAATATGTGCATCTCAGAATAATGAGCTTCCCTAAACATGATTTTTATATACGGCTTGTGCATTAAGCGGCTATAGACACTCTTCAAAAAACAAAGCGTTGGGGCTTTGCTACGAGGAACTATCCCTAAAAACAACCTTAACGGCGTGACCTGAAAAAATACATCGATTTTCACTTTTTGTATTTTACTTTTAAAAGAAGACTGATTGGTGCACAATTTTAGAAAGCTAAATGAAGCGTTCTGCAGAGGAATACGGAGGCTTCAATATCTGGAAGCAACACTTTTCTCAAGATTCCTAGATTTTGGAAAAAAAATAATGAATTCGTCGTTAGGGACGTGACGTAGTACGGCTACACTGCAGAGAAGGTGTTCTGGTAATCAGATGAAAATTTGGAATCGCTTTCAAGCGTTGCACATTTCGGCTCAGAGTCCCTAGATGACAATAAGAAAAACCTTTTCGTCGCTCCGCTCGACAGGATCTCTGGAAAACTCGTCCTTTTGAAGAAATGTTTCCGAGTTTAATCTTGTTGAAAATTTTATCATCGGTGCAGTTCACGACCGAAAAATTATCCTGAAGCTTTCAGATTTCATTCTCATATGGTTAGAAACATATTCACTAAATACTGTTGAATTACGTTGTGTGTGAGTGTGCCGGTGGATATATGAGTTCGTGAGGATGGACGTACGTTTGGGTGGGTGTGGATGTTGGTTGGTATGTGAGTTTGGGTGTGAGTAGTCGTGGATGTTCATGCCAGTGCGGGTGGTGATATTTTTGCGCTTTAAAGCCAGATCGAGACTCAGATCCACAGCCACGCCCATGCCAATCACAACAACCAAAAGTCATCCCGCACTCGTTCCCGCACCCGGACCCGCATGCACTCGACACCCAAATCCACATACCCACCCATAGTCACCCACATTGCACACCGACACTCACACCGACCACAGTCAGTTGATATCGAACGATGGAAGTTGATTCTTTCTGAAGAAATCTGAACAGTATCAACTGTGGAAATTGATTGGGTCTGGTTGTTCAGTGATCAGTTGATGGAGAAGGCAAGAAGTAGAAAAATACCATCACCATCTGACTACATCTGCGACTAAATAAGATGAAAAGTAACATACTGGGCTTTTTCAGTTACGTCTTATTTATGAAATCAAAGCCCATAGACAGATCAAAAGGTAAAACTGTTTGTCTCCCAACGTACATTTTCAAAAATATGATATGCTGACTCACAAGTTTTTAAAAGCTAGGGAAATTGTCGATTTTCCCTGCGTCTTGTCGGGAAGCTACATAGATTCTTCACCCTTGGTCACATTGTTCGGAAGATGCCGAATAGATGGCTTTTTTAATGTTTCAAACAGCATCTGGTACTACTTGCGAGTTTATAATTTTCAATTGATTTCTCTATGAAATGTCTTGACAATGCTATCTACAAATAGCACTTGTCCCAAATGAATACTGAATATCCTTTCCAAGCTATGTATGTTATAAAAGCAGTATAATAAGTGGAATTTTCGCTATTACAGTTAGTCTGGAAATCAAAAAGTTTTGCAATTGTAAAGTAGTATTTCAATCTACTTCTGTTAATCAGTGTCAAAGTATACAGAGAGAAAAACTAACGGCTGAGCCTGTCCACGTAAAACGTTCTTTCATCACGCTTTGCTTGTTTCATTTCGTAAAAACAACTTAATGTTAAGAATCAAATGTTTTTGCAGTTTCGGACGAAAAATTGTGCTGTTAAAAATGAGGAATTGCAAAGCTGTCCACGACTCCTCTTTCACTATAAACAGAGCGTGACGGAATCACCCCTTCTGTGAACAGGCTCGGCTGCCACTCGGTCTGCCTCACACATGGGGTGCGCAGAATGGGCGAAACTTTCCAGCATCATAGACCCTGATAAGTATTTCGATATGTGCGTCCGTCTAGTGTTGAGGAACAATATGATCGATGTGGGTAATTCTCTCATTTGAAAGTGGCATTGATCTGCCGTCTCTTCACTTTAATCTCGTGGGCACTACACAGGAAGCTTTTTGAGTGGCTTCTGTAAATACTCATGAAACTCTTGTCACTAAAACATCAAAATACCAGCGAAATCTACGCTCCTCGATTGAGTAGCATAGGCGGGACTTACATGCGATCACTCTGAAAATTATGCAGACGTACCCACTGTTTCATGCTATACCGACACATGGTATCACAATTTGAAATCTAACATTGGCTCATAAACGACATATACATAGAAACTGCCTAATACTTTCAGAATTAATAACAATGGAAGGGTTTGTACTGATAAGCAAAAATATTGACTATATTCGCATCAAATGAACACTCTCATTGCCAAACTAACAAATTTTAAATTATGAACTGCTTATGGTTTTGCGCAGACGGAGTTATTGGAGTTTTAAGGGTTTTACAGTATATATAATATGCCCACTATTAGAAATTTCAGAAGAATTTCTTTTTTTCTATTCTCCTCATGGTTGGATAGAGCTCAGCGAGTTACAAAAGAAAAACTATATTTCAAAACTTAAAAATTATTTTTGAAAAAATTCGAAGATAGCATTATTTTTCAATATAAATGGGTATAAGTGTGAAATTCTGATTTTCGTAAAAATTATTTTTTAATCTTTGTAATATAGTTTTTCTTATGTGGCTCGTTGGACTGTATCCAACCATCAAGAAAAAAGGAAAGGAAATCGTTCTGAAATTTCCAAATAGTAGACATATTATATATGGGGTTGATCAGTCTGGCCGGAAGACCAACGTTCTTTTATGGCATGTGGTTTGCATAATACATCAGAGAATTATGAATTTTTTTACTAGTTTTACTACTCGCACATTGCTGATGATCGATCAAGTATAAGGGNGGGGCCCCCCCCCCCTGACTTAACAACCCCATATACTCTAAATACCTTAATATTCGAATAACTCGATTCGCGCAAGCTATAAGTAGTTCATACTTAAAATTTGTTAGTTTCACAATTGGAGTGTTCATTTGATACGAGCATGACCAATCTTTCTGCTCATCAATACAAACCCTTTCATTGTAAAATAACTTGATTCGTCTTGCAGAGCGGTGGTAATGCGTATGCTTTGTACACGATTGACAAAATCAATGGTGCCCTTGTCGTGGTTCGTCCTGACGGATACACTGCTCAAATTACTCATGTTTCTGCTGCCGGTGTCAAGGAGATCGAGAGCTACTTTGAAAACATCCTCGTTCCGCAACAATAAGTATTTGGATGGATTGGACACATTGACCCTATATTTTATGCATTTTGCTTACATTATTTTTCTATCATAGAGATTGTCATTTCCACTCATTGTACCCAACTGAACGACGAGTTATGTTTGCGTAACGTTTAGTTCACTCATCACTAGTTGTGTATGGACATGGATTAAAAATATAGATCTTTTCGTCGTCTATTGTCTGAAATAGCAGTTCAAATGTCAGATGATCAGGCTTTTCTGGTGTTTCAGGGTTACCGGAACTTCGCCAATATGACTTCCGCCAATAGGACACTCGCCAATGGAGAAACTGCGGGGATATTTTGACCAGCAACAACTGTACTTTCGCCAATTGTCACGAAACAATATTAATATAGGATATACATGAGTCTAATTCACAATCCAATTGACGAAATTTCAGAAGAGGTGTTGGCGGAAGTACAGTGAACTTTCACCAATTGGCAAAATTCCAGAGAATCTTTTGACGAAATTACAGTGGACTTTCGCTACCGACGAAAGTGCTATTTAGCGAAAGTCTTATTGGCGAAGTTCCGAAATCCCGTGTTTCATAGGAAACAGACAAGATCTCCACCCAAAAATATGAGGATCGATAATTGTACAACGTTAAACTTCGAAACCCAATGTTTCACTCGAAAGAGTGTACACATTTAGATATGGATCCGAAGTGTTATTCATTTTTAACAAAGTCTTTTAAGAGAGAATCCCCACACGGCCACCTCATCGGACTTATATTACAGGCAAATAAAGTCCTGCGAGGTCGCGAATTGTAGCAACGGAAAACAAACTAACACTTTTTCAAAACCGACGTCAAGCCGCTCCTGTGGTGGTTACAGCCGAAATCGAATTGAAAACCGACTTCATGATTTCGAAGAAATTGTTTTTGTGAAGTCCTACTTTTGAAACGAGCCATCATCTAGTTCAAATATATTTAAAACTAAGTAAACTATTCAGAAAAAAAAGTTACATCATTTCTACATTGAGTCTTCAATCATTGAAAGTTACGGAGAAAACTGAGTGAATTGATAAAGCCATGGCTGCCATTAAGTCAATTAGTCTCAAGGCGATTCGTTGAAGGCAATTCATCGTATCATTTTCTATTGCTAAATATTTATTGCATAGCCATTGAACAGCTGAAGAGAAAATAAATCAATAAAAGGTACAGAAGTCTCTATATCGCAACTTTTCTCAGAATGATGGCCTCAAGACGCAGAAGTAAGTCACCTGGTAATGTGCGTCTATGAACAACTATGTTGCGCCTCAAGCCATCAAAACATTATAGGATTTTGCGTTCTAATAATGAACTTGGCTTTAAACTAGACAAATGAGGAATTAATCCAATGTTCTTAACTGTGCGACTCAAACATACAACAAAACGGTTCCCGTGAAAAATGGATACTCTTCACCAACATAATCACAATATTTTCCATGATGATACACCACAAACTTTATACTTTCATGTAGGGGTGCTCTGAAAAAAATAAAGGTGTCATACTGAACCATCTGGACTAAAAAATAGTTCTAGCGAAGATACTGAACCTTTTAAGGTTCTATTCGTTTATTAATAAACCATCCAGGGTTCTAGCTAATTTCCAGAACCATCTCAGATCCTCAATAGTTCCGGATGTTTGAAAGGGTTCTGCCTTGCACCATTTTTTTTATGCTGAACCATTTTTCCAAAGATGGTTCTGGCTTGAACCAAGACGCGATATTTTTGCTGAATGTAATTTACTTAATGTAAATCGAAAATAGGTTATCGAGGTCCCGGAATCCGAATCCATCACTAGTTTTTCGATCTGAGCTTCCATTGGTCAGAAATTCGGTCCATCAAAAATTGGATGGTCACAAAGTTAGACTTTTTAGTTCGACTCTGATCTCAGTTCTAATCGAAGTTTGAAATAGGTTATCGAGGTCTGCGAATCCGAATTCGTCATCATTTTTTCGATTTGAGCTCTCATTGGCCAGAGATTGGGTCAGTCAAAAATTCGACGGCCACAAAGTTAGATTTTTATTTCAACTCCGATCGCAGTTCTGAGCGCAGTTTGAAATAGGTTATCGAGGTCCAGGAATCCGAATTCGTCATCATCGATTCCAATCCCGGAGATCCAATAGTTGAATGATGGATCTGGGAAGTTGTGTCCCGATTATTAATTCAATGATAAATGGTAACTTATGCAATGCGGTTGTTCTTTTATCTTTTTCGGCATGTCACAATTATCAATAGGCAGGTAATGTCAATCTGGTAAAATCAAGTCAATATTTTCGGTACTAGTACAATTCGTCGCATATATATGAACCAGTGATGGGACCGGTTCGGTTCGAAATTTTGAAAAATTCGGTCGGTTCGGTTCGGTTTGAGATTTTTTCGGTTCGATTCGGTTCCAAAAAAACACGAACCGATCCCATCACTGATAGGAACGAGAGTGAATTAATTGGATTAAGTAATTTTGTTTAGTTTGTTTTTCAATTAATAACCTCAATAAATGTTTTCATTCACAAAAATGAGACTCTTTTTCGACTATTTTGTGAAACACGAACTAAAAAAAGGGTTGAAGGGCTTAGGGGCAAAAATGCGAACTCATCCCCCCCCCCTCCCACAGACCGTGACAGGCAGGGTTCTCGGGTATCACAGACCGTGACAGGCAGGGTTCTCGGGTATCACAGACCGTGACAGACAAACCTCAGTCCCATCATAGACCGTGACCGGCAAACCTCAGTACCATCACAGACCGTGACAGACAAGCTTCAGGACCATCACAGACCGGGACAGACACCGTTGGGGATGATCAGAAAAGTAGTAGACGGGCTGCAGAGGCGTCGCTGAACATCACCGATCTTTGTTACAGGATTAGTGAATATGCGTCACTAATTTCTGAGACGAGTGTACTAGATGCATCTTTATCGCAGCTCTAGTAGTTGAATGAGAAATTATGAGTGATTTTTTACCGGGGTTCATGAAAGAAAGCAGGATTTGCGTGACTAATGAGCGCTGCTACATCGTGTTTCACATTTTTAATCCCAAAGGGATTGCGCTAACAGCTTTGTTTTTCAAAAAAGGATAGAGCTGTCGATTTACATTTAATTTATATTAAATTCATAGCAGCTAAAATAAAGCTTAACTCAAAATAAAATAACTTTTTTGAATTAAAATGTGATTTCAAAATTATTTTGGACTTGAAAAATTATTTTTTCACTTTAAAATTTTAAAGAATTTATTTCTTTATATATGTAATAGACCCTTTTAGATTTTTGATGCTTCAATCTGTAAAAAAGACGATGTCTAAAGAAAACTAAAGTTATAAGATTTAATCCAAGTATTCTTCTAATGTTCGCAAGATCGGAAACTCAAAAAAGAAGTTGTTGAGAGTTTTCAAAACTACTGTATTGAATGGTAGAACAACTTTTCCAATGACGAAAAATTGTTCCACAAAGTACTGAACGAACGAAACAGATCAAGAAATAGTAGATTTTGCCATCATATCTTCTTGAATCTCTTGCCGCAAAATTTTTCACAAGACCGTAAAAGAAATGATTTGAGTTTCATTTAATAACAGACTATTTGCATTGTGATTGAAGAATTCTCTTAGTAATTTTTACGAACCAAATCATTTGTTTGTTGAAAGAACATCTGCTATCCATAAGGGAGATCTTCTCATCTTTCAAAAAAGTTTACATTGTAATAAAAATAAAAATTTAAGAGTTTAAAATTATTTTAGGGAAAATTGAAATTTAAAATTTTGTAGGGTGTCCCAAATAAAATATAACCCTTATGAACCTTCTGAATATAGTAACTGTGTTGTAAAAATTTCGTAGGGGGGTAAGTTGTATTTGAGACACCCCGCCATTTTTTGCTAGAATTCTTCAAATACTCCACCCATGGAAAAAAAATTCAAAAAAAGAACGGATGAGAACGCATTGTCGAGATAAAAGACTGCGTTGTGAAGACGCTTTTTTCAACCTTTTCAGACGCGTTTGTGTAATGAAAAACGCGTTCTTTTAAATAACAAGAACCGGTTCTGACGAAACGTTCCATAGGAACATGTTTTTCGCGGTAAGAACGCGTTCTTACTTAGAAGAAAAAAAATGATTTTTTATTGAATTTTCAACTCTGTGAATGTCTCGAACGCGTTTCTTTGCTATTCGTATAGGTTCTCAGACTGCTGGTTCCTCTATTCGAATACTTGTGTTCGCACTGAACGCGTTCCAATTCGTTTTGTTTTTACTACCGTAGAGTGGATTCTACCAGATGAACATGTAGTTTCGAAGTAGTGAATATCCGAATGAACTATACTTACGTATGTTTGAAGTGCTAAATTATCTATTTGTATTAAACAAAATTTATTCTGACTTGACGAAATTTAAACTTAAGACTGATCCATTTACGTTTACGAAAAACTTGATAAATTCAAAAATAAATTTAAAGAACTTTAATTCCCTTTAAAATAAAATATTGGAAATTTAACTTTTTAATATTTTTTGACATTTAATAAAAGTTTTCTAATCTAGCTTATATTAATAAAAATTCAATACAAAGCTGTTCAAATTCAATTAAAATTCATGTAATTAGACTTAAATATTTCTTAGGCGATCTAAACTCATTTACTGTGATTTTTATCGAATTCAAGTTTAATTAAATTGGTTTAAATTGAATTTACATAGTACGATCGATTTGAGTAAATATAAATTTTTTTTTATTTTAAAAACTTAAATTCATTATAAATTAAAATCGACAAAAGCTAAATTTAATAGAAATTAATTAGAAATCGATGGACACTTCTGATTTTTATTATGAGCTACAATAAGTGACAGGTTCGATGGCAAATAAAAATGTGATGAATACATTTGAGACAGACGTTAGTATAACTTTTGCAAAATTTCTGTTTATGTTTAAAATCAATTGAAACCTTCCCGATTACTATTTTTCAAATAAGAGAAAGAATATACGATTTGAGAATGTACATTAAAAGAGTATTTTCTAAAAACGACTT